TGTGTATATATATATAGGCGTACTGGTACTTCTTTGGGCATTGATAAAAACTGGTTGTAAGTGGAGATGGCAGTAGATCGGGGGGAGGGGAGATTCAACATGGTTGATTTATGATGGTACTAAAGCATTTCTTCTACATACGAGGATGGAATTGTTGTCTAAATATTAGAGGAAGCGAGATTCTGGCTGGGCTTCTGTAATTTAGCGACTAGGCACCTCGCCATTACACACAGAAGACCCAAATTCAATTCGCAGGTGGGAATGGTTTTAATTGAGTATCTCAACTTTATCTCTCTGTCCAGGTCGGCCCTGACAGGTAGGGTTGAAGCCCGCTTCCTAAATGATCTAAATTGTGTCGATGGGGGTCTGAAACACCTTCAATGAAAAAGAAAAGGACAAAGAAAAAACATGAAAGTAAAATTGTTATTGCTGGTGCCAGATAGGACGATGCCCTTTCCTCACTTGAAATAAACGAGATTACACCTTAACTTACTGAAGACCTATAGTGTGGCCAAAAATTCGTGGCGCAACTTATTGTCAAATATTTCCAAAACTATCAAACATAGACTCTCCAGCTTTTGTACAGTGATTTGTATCAATTCGTCTAAACAAATCAATATTTTTTGTAAACACCTGTTAGTTGTATTGTTGAAAATTTTTGAATAAATACCAATAAAAAATCTAAGTGGGTGGTTACTAAGAAGAAGAAGAAGAAGAAGAAGAAGAAGAAGAAGAAGAAGAAGAAGAAGGAGAAGGAGAAGGAGAAGGAGAAGGAGAAGGAGAAGGAGAAGTGTCCCGTCAATGGTGATGTTTAGTGGAACTGGGTTTCAATAATCACACAATCCGTGCATGCATGTTTTGGCCAATATTGAGTAGTAATAACCTTCAGATGAACACAATGCATAAACAATGCTTTAGCTTTCAAGTCTGTGTAATCACAAATCTTGCACGCACTTAGTGTTTTGATCTGATTCTGTAGTTTTCTTAAAAATCCTAAATTAGACGGCTTCCGCCCGCCAAAAGTTTGTATAGCAAATGTTTGAACTGCTCTCAGATAGGTACTGTCTGTACAGATGTTCTACGGTGTCGTTCAACAAAAATGTCTGGGTTTTTAAAAATCTCTTTCAGGTTAACAATATTTTTAACCGTTCGAAATTCTCGAGTTGTCCAGCCTAAGGAAAAAAATGGCTTTTGGAGAGCTTGTAGAACAGATTTGGCTTCTGTGAGGATGACGGTGTTGGCTTGAGATTTTTGGTGATTCAAGGGAATGGTGGCTGCTGTTTCGAGTGCTGATGTTTGTGCTTTGTAATTGGAAGATAGAGATCCTGTGGGGATGGAATGGCTTTCTGTTGTCCCATCTATCCACTCTATGTAGATACCTCCACCGCCGTTTCTGACTGCATCAGTTGCTGATCCATCTGTGTAAACTCGATTCCACCTGTTTCTTGGGAAGTTTCTGTCCAAGTAGTCGAGCGTTAGTGACTTGAGTATTGGAGGAGGGCCTGCACAACCGATACCCCAAGAATTTAACCACGTCAAGCATGAATTGACATTTTTCTTTGTTGATTTTCAAACCTTTTTCACTGGCCATCTTCAAAACTCTGTTGGGGGCTCTCGTAGCCTAGAGGTTAAGGTGTTGGCCTTTCATTCAAAGGTCCCGGGTTCGAATCCGGGTAGTGACCGAAATATTTTCTTCTCTAAAATTGTCTCCTCTCACCTCCTTTCCTGCTCTCTAGCAATGTTCTGTTGTCTGCTTTCATTTCCACTTTTTACCCCCACCCCCTCACCTCCTTTGCCCCCTCCTCTGGGCTCCCGACTCTTTCTGCAGCCTTTCTACTGCTACTCCTTGGCTCCCCCTTACTGCTGTCTTTCTGCCACACCCCTGATCTTCTGGTATGAAAGATCTACACCTAGCCTTCTCGGACAAGGGCGAAAAATCTCGGAGGGCCCGTGTGCAAGTTGCGCACGTTAAAGATCCCGAGCAAAATTCAAAATTTCCTACCAACTGAAAATATTAGGTGTGTCCCGCGCGCTCATATGACCTTATGCAGTTGCGAGCGCCGTAAAACACTTTACAAAAATAAAACAAAAAACTCTGTTGAGAGTTTGAAGATGCTCAGTATTGTTTTTACCTGTAATGTACAGGTTGTCAGAGTACACACACACACTTGGAACATCGTGGAAGATATTGTCCTTGACAGCCTGGAATATTCCTGGACTACAGGAGATTCCAAATCAGAGTCTTTGGTATTGGTAGAGACCCTTGTGGGTGTTTATTGTAGTGTATTGTTTAGAATCACCATGAAGTTCCAACTGAGTGCATGCGTGAGAGAAATCCAATTCCGTGAATTTTTCACCACCTGCTAGTTTGAGAGCAATATATCCTCAATGCTGGGAAGAGGGTATCTATTTTGCTCAATTTGCTTATTTACAGTGACCTTGTAGTCACCGCAAATTCTGACTGTGCCGTCTTTTTTGGGCACGGGCACTATAGGAGTAGCGTGTAGTGATTCACATACACAGTACATTCCCCAACAATTGGAACAGTGTCACCAGTATGTGTTTGTAACTCTGTTTCGATGACGGTTGCAGCCTGATTCCTGGAATGAGACGGTTAAAGTCAGAATGTGTGATAACAGTAAGTGCTGCATCAGTGTCCAACTGAAAATTCACACTCTGGTTATTCACTGTGAGTGGGACATTGAGTGGAGACGAAGATGACATCCCAGATATGGTGAATAAATGGAAGGTAGGCTTCACCCCGGACTCGGATTGGTCCAGTGAGTTGTCGACGTAGTGGTTTCTCTGTGGTTGTGGTTTTCTACGTTGATCGCTATTGTACTTCTGCCCAATGGATGGGTTAGGTCTGGACCTGTAAGCTTTGGCAATGTGTCCCTATTTTTCTCACTCTTGTGGCCTTTAGTTGTCCTAAATTTACACTGTTGAGGGTGGTGAGGGCCAAGACACCTATGACACTGGTGTGATCTAGACCCAGATTGCTGTGCTTGACGCGAAGTTGCATCAGATGCTCTTGGGTAGTGTGACGTGGTTTTGCTAGATTTAGAACCTAGTCTGCTGTTTCTTTGTAACGAATTCACAGAGGCTGTGGGGGCTAGTGCTCTGGCAGCTTCATCTATCTGTTGAATCGACGTTGCGAGCTCGATGGCCTTATCTAGAGTTAGCTGAGGATCGAGGAGTAACTTCCTCTAGATGTCAATATTGTTGACGCCAGTGACGAACCGTTCACAGATTCTGTCGTTGATAGATTCACCAGACTCGCAGTGCTCACTTAAGTGTCTTCATGCAGCCACATATTCGGCAATGGTTTCGTTGTTATGCCTGTTCCTAGCATCGATTTTTGCACGTTGCAAGAACTTGGGCGGTGGGGGTGCATGATGGTTTTTCAGGAGTGTGCATAACTCATCAAACGTTTTCGTTGAGGGGGTACAAGGGGCAGTGAAGTCCTTAATCAAACGAAACCGACATGGGCCTATCGCAGTAAACAGATTAGCTCTTTCCTTTTCATTTGCTGTAACATCCTTAGCTTCTAAATAGAATGTCAGCCTATCTAAATAATCTTGGATTGTTTCACCCACCGGATTATACTCTTTGATCTGGCCGTACAAAGCCATGTCTTGTAAATAGTTAGCCTTTGGGCTTCTTAAAAGGACTGGGGCTCTAACAAATTTAGCTCATGGGTTCTGCTCGTCGCCAAAATGTAATATATTGACTTTGATTGTCTATTACAAGCACACAGCTCATTTGAGACATGGAGGCAGCCATCAAGGGCACACCAGAACTGAACTTTATTCAGAAGAGTTACACAGTTACACAATAGACAAGAGGCCAAAGGGAACTCAATCATGACACTACTACTTAAAAGATTTATGTCCCTTTATTCCGTATGATTATTACAGATTGATCGTTACTCTATTATTACAACTGAGGAAATGCTGTTGGAGTAACAAGTTACGTTTGGGATAAACAGAGGATCTCTCTTTGTTTTTTTCTGGTTAGAAACATGATATGGTTATCGTTTGTGCCTGTGGGTGTAGTATGGTGTTGAAGGTGGGAAGATTCTCGAAGTTGTTCCTTTCTGCCGTATGTCGTCTAGGTACGCTTTTTTGGAGTATGTCGGTTATCGTAATTTTTTGTTTAAAAAAAATTAATCAAAATTAAAAGTTCAACAAAAAACACAAAAAACCCTCTTTCTAGTTTTATGTCTTTGCCTAATAATAGTCGTAATGGTCCTTTTTGTAACTTTGTGTCTAAAGCAGAATCGATCTGCTCATGCAATTTTTATGTGAACACAAGATTTTCCATGTTTAGAATGTTCGGGTGTCATGTTCTTCCCACAGAGAGCACGGACGATGAGGAGTCTGATGAAGAAGGACTCACTCTGAAGCAAAGAGCGGATCGTGTCAGAGAAAGTCAAGGTAAGGAATCAAACGAAACAACAACAACAACAACAAAAGCCCAACAACGAATGATTTACTAATGTTCAAAGAGAGATAGTTCTTTGTTTTATCAATTTTTCTGCTCTGTCTGTGATTAATTTGATCCATTAACAAGAGTTTGTTCAATTTCTGATTTGAATTCCGACACCATAACCGAATTCAAGATAAATGACTACTGTGGACTGGGGTATGTAAGACCACCTTTTGTACAAGCTTTTGTGCTTACCCAATAGGAATCATTGTAAACTAATAGTTTTTATTTTAGATCGGGGGGCCTGACAGCTATCACTATCATCAAATGTGTCACGTTGGAATCAAGCGCTCTTCAGTTTTTGGGCATAAGGAGTTATTAGTATCAGTTTTTAAGACTGTTCATTTGTCTACCATTTGATATAAAAAGAAGTACTCAATAAACTTGGATAAAAATCAGGATTTTTGCCTTTGAAGGAGGCGGGGGTCACCTAATTTCAGCCATAACATAAGCAAGAAAATGGCCTCAAAACTTCTGTGACCTCCAAAGCTTGAGAGTCCTTCGAAACGGAAAATTTACTATTTTTGTGCATTTAATCAACGTTTTTCAAAAATATTAACACAGAAATGTATTTTTTAATGGAGTTTAAAAATGTTGAGCCAAAAGCCAAAATCTTTAAAAAATTTGCCAAACCTTCGGGAAAATGCCACTTCGATTTCATTACTTGTAATTTGACGAGTACCTAATTTCACCACGATGCCTCACATGCATATGCATAGTTTTCAAGGGGTACTCTCCGCTATTTCTATAGATATTGAGTGGGTTCGGGGGTTTTTTGGGTTTGTTTTTTTTACCCTGTCCACTTCTACCAACTGAAGTTTTTGTGTTTAGTAGAAACAAGAACAGTAAAAAAAAAAATGTGCAGCATTGTCGATTTTAAAATTAACTGTTAGAATTAGTGTAAACCCACAAGAGAAATATTCTACATATCTATATACAGACTTCAAGTTAAGGACCACTTGCAAACACTCTGATTGGTCTTCTTGGGTTCATCTGCTCGCGGGCGTTCTTGGACTGATCCAGGGGCTTGATGGCGCTGCCTCAGGCGGACAATGACAGAGTGGACACTGCAAGCCTTCTGGCAACTTCTCGGGCTCCTACTCCATCCTGCAGCCATGCTATAGCTCTGGCATGATCAAAGTCTCTGAGCGTTCGTCTTGGTGGCATGTTGATGCGATACTGGATTTTGCGCTAATGGCGGCTATATTGCCACCAAAGTGAGCACAGTTCGAGACAGTACGCCTGTTTATGACGTGCACAGGAAATTTTAACTGAGGAATGTACGTGGTGTCGCACACAAGTCGATAAAAAACAACACATTTGGCTA